CGTTTTGACAAGTATGACTTCAATAAAAATGTGATTTCTACGTTTTTAGTAACACTTTAGACAACAGTGGTCCCAACCTCCCCTCTTCAAATCTAGCGTTTCCCTCCCTCACCTGTGGTTTGTTTGAGGTCGTCCGACTCTTTTCACTGTTGTCTAGGCCTTTTGATGTCTGTTAAACACATTATATGAACTTATCAACCATTAGTGATCAAGTCTTGCATTGGGCTTTCCCTCCCTGTGTATATTGGTATCAAAGCCATTGATTTGAGTAGGCCGAATATTTGTAGAATGATGATTTGTGTTTGTGCTTATGCCTGTTGGGACCGATGTTATGGAGATTATACTTGGTCACTCTTGGTTGATGACTCCATTAATTGATACTCGAGTATACTTTCCCTTGAGTACAGTATACTAATGTTAGGTCTCACACTTTTATATAAAGGAGATTATTGGAGATTAAAATATAAGTGATGAATAATTAAGTTTCACATTAATTAAGAATAGTAATAAGAAACATATATATAAAGGATTTTATGAGAATAATGTAACATGATATAAGAAAATTTTCCTGGGAGCCAACTCGTCTCAAAGAGATAATTAGGGTTGGGTAACTCCAAAAAAAAAGAAAATTTTCCTCCCCTCACAATAAAGAAGAGAGAGAAAGTGGAATGATGAAAGAGAAAAAAAAAAAACATGTGGACCCCACCTTTTAATTGTATGTGTAGGAAAGTTTTCTTAATTTATGTAACATGATACTTATAAAACTCATATATAAAAGGACCCATAAATATAATATTTTAAGATTTTCTTCCCCTCGCCTTATAAAAATGTCATTTTTATCTAGTGGGCGTGATAGATTCTGACATTATTTCGTCTATCATATGCAATATTGATATATACGCATATTGGAGTTGTTTGACCCTTAATTTGGAGCGTTTGGATAGATAATCTATGCCTTTGGTATGCGTCTAGCTAGAAGTTTTTTTTTTTTTTTTTTAGGTTACCGGGAATAGAACACACAACCACACACCCACACTCGTAGACTAGCCCTAGTGGATAGCTAGAAGTATGTTCTGATGGGAGCACATTGAGTTTCATACCTTGACTCTCACCAAAAAAAAATTATATTTTTTTAACGAGTGTCGCCTACATCAATCTGCAATATAGACAATGACAACGAGATTAGAAAAAAAAATCAAATTTGAACAGTGTGGTAAACATCAACCTGCAGCACTGGTTTTTTAAAAATACATAAATAATATGAGGGATACTCATTAAAAAATATATATATAAAATTGATTACGTAGGAAGTGGGAACAGGGCATGGAACTCAACATTTCCTACTGGAAAAATACTTCAGGATACCAAACACGCAAATTACCTATCCAAATTACCAAACACGCAAATTTCCTTTCATTTAGACTCCGATGAACACTTCTATTAATATTTGGAAATAGTTTTCAATGACCATCAAATAATCCCATTAAAGCAACTAGACAGATAGACATAATAGGCCTAGGTTACGTACACGTTCTAAGATTAAGACATTAGAGTTGAAGATCCTTTTTTGAATGGGTCCAAGTTAATTTACTGATGCCCCTTATTGTTGATCATTTGACTTAGAATTGCTTGAGCTTTATCAACTATATAGATTGTGAATATGTCAAAACAAATGCAAGAGTACTAGTATTCTCTTTGACAGTTTTTATTTGTTTATTTTGTAAATGGGACAAATAAAGAGGAAATCAACTCATAAACAATACAAACTTGTCAGGCAACAAACCAGCAAGACACTCAAAATGATAAAGCATTCTTGTCATAATATGATGCTAGCAACCTAAACCTTCTTTACGCCGAAGACTGGTTACCCCTGCTTACTTAATTTTTATTGGATAGTCGAGACTCGAGAGCTTATAATATACTCAAGGATGGGGGGTTCACATTACCTTTAAGGATAGGTTATAGTAAAGTTAAAAAATAACAAAAATTTGACAACTCTGCCTTGGATATATATATATATATATATATATATATATATATATATATATATATATATATATATATATATATATATATATATGTATGTATATATGAAAAAACATTTCTCAAGTGTTTGAGATAATTTTATTTTCGGCTACTAAATCATAACCGTACAAAGATGGATTAATGGTGATAAAGGAAGAGAGAGAAAAAGGGAATCATAATCATTCAAAGGTGAATCAATTAATATAAGAAAATAAATAAATAAAACGACGTAGTTTTGGAGTAGCCGGAGATAAACTTATCTCAAGCTGCTTGAGAAATGTTTTTTCCTATATATATATATATATATATAGCATCAGGATCATTTTACACCAGTGTAAGTTACACTTTAAATCTTGTTCGTTGATCCCATTTATATCTAAGGGCTCAAATTTTTTAGTAATGTGAGTTATTAGATACTAGTGGATCAATGGTCAAGATTGAGTGTAAGGCTTCTAACTCTTACAATGGTGTAAAAATATCCTGCCATATATATATATATATATATATATATATATATATAGGGATAAGATCCGTTTACAAACTTTTTTTGCAAATTACACTAAGTGCGACTAGTCGTACACTGCATGATTAAAGTAGGATCGGTCGTACTTAGTGTAGTTTGTAAGAGTTTGTAAACAAAAAGTTTATAAATATAACATGCCCCATATATATATATACATATATATATATATATATATATATATATATATATATATATTGTTATGGACCTGACAAAGGCCCATATTCTAGAAGGACCAGTAAAAGACAATACAAAAGGAAGGGAATCTCCTATTAATGACAATCTTATCCAAACAGTTAAGCAGTTGGACTTGGGCCTCCAATATTCCTGAGAGGCCCAGAAGTACATTCATATCAGGTAACCCATCTATAAATAAAAGGGTTAAACTAATAAAGTACACACTCTCAAAACCCTCTCTCTTAGCTTGTCACTGTGCACACACCTCACTTCTTGACTATGTCGATTATTATTGTGCACAGTGATCAGCCTACATCAAGGGTATCTAATTCATAGATACTTGAGAGAGGGCACATAGATCCTACATAAAATATACCAGTCACCGGCTGGACATCTCTGTCTTTCAGACATAACATATATATATATTGGGCTTGTCGTTTCTCAAGCTACTTGAGATAATTTTATCTCCGGCTACTAAATCATAACTGTACAAAGATGGATAAATGATGATAAAGGAAGAGAGAGAAAAATGAAATCCTAACCATTCAAAGGTGAATCAATTAATATAAAAAAATAAATAAATAAAACGACGTAGTTTTGAAATGGCCGGAAAGTTATCGGAAAAATATTTTTCCCATGTATTGAAAAGTTTGAGTTGAGAGCATATTCTCTGGATTTCAAGGTCAACACAAATCACTAGTGTTAACTAAAATTTATAATGGGATTGTATACTAGATACACGCTAACGAGAGATTTCCGAATCTGAAGTCATGTTATTGTTATAAGCTGAAGATCAACCATGCATGTGAGTCAACTTGTATTGGATATACTCATGGATATGATGAGATAATTCTGTACACCTAATGTACATCATTATGTGTACTAAATCAATGAATTGAAGTGATATATAATCATTTTAAAATATAGAATATTTATGTCGCACAAGAACTTTACGTAACTGCTTGATGTTGATTGGGAAAATGCACACAACTTATGTGCTGCATCTATATGTAAAAAATTTCTCTAGCTCATATAAGGGAAATGCTTACATAAACCAATTGCACTAATCAAGTTCGCAAAGTTAGCAACTACGTGCATGTTAATTTCAATTTTTTTAGAGGAAATAATCCTTTTTTATTCAGGTACTCTCAAGTAGCTGAAGAAAAAAATATTTTTTAAAACAATAAAATATATTTTTTAAAATAAATTTATTTAAAATTAATTAATTTAAAATCATAATTTAAAATTGTTAAACTTTACTTCTTCTTTTTTGAAAATCTACAACGAATTCAAACTCTCTCTCTCTATATATATATATATATATTATTTTTTGTCTATTAATAATGTCATCCCAACTCAACTTGTAAATTGATAATATTATACAATTAGATATTAGCCATATTATTTTTAAAAAAATTATTAGTTAAAACATCTGAACAAAAGAAGATAAGGGAAGGTAATGATTACAAATTTAATAATTTAAAGGGAAAAGTTAAAAACCTCATGTTGTTTCTGTTAGAATTACTAATTACTCGTTATGCTTTTTGTGCATCGAGATAAATAATTGCACTTCTAGATTCAAATTTGGTACCTATGGAAAGGGAAGTGAGATGTTAACCACTAAGTGGGGTTATTCTGATTGTCATATTACTTTTATTTATTTATTTATTATATATTTTTACATAAATTTAATTTAAGCCGTTGAACTAATAATCTACTGACCCGGTATTCCAATTGAGTTGATGATTGATTCAAGTTTAATAACATTGCATCGGGCAAAAATCACAAGGGTTTTTGAAAAAAAATTTCCTGGTATAGAAACATTTTGAATAATGTACTACCGTAACATTAGGAAAATTATGATCCGTATTCATATTTAATTTTTGGGCTTCATGGAAAATGAGAAGACTCAAATGTGATATACAATTAAGAATGAAAATACCCTTATCTCATTGCACAACACTGTAGAATTCTTTACAAAAGTGATACAATGGAGAAATTTTGATGTTGTTTGGTATTCTTTAGGCAAACTGAAACCCTTCCAAACCCTAAACACATAGATCCATTATTTCAAGACTACAAAAGTGTACATTGGTGACAAACAATATCTTGATAACATTTTCTTTATTGCAATAAAAGTAATTTTTTATATCAAATTATTCAGGTGCACAAGCTGAGCAAACATCTAATGGAGGAGCTTATAAAACATTCAGGTTGCGTTTGAGTACAAGACAAATGATAAGTAATTAACAACTGAGATTAACATGTAGAATTTCCTTCATAGAAGCACCTCTTTGTTAAATATCCAGCTGAAGTTGACATCCATCTTCTTCTTTCGCGCGCGCTCTTCAGCACGCTCTTGCAGCCTTCTAATCCTGGGTGGAAGTCCACACACGAACTCCTGTGCACGCTTACCCTCACTCGTCAAACCCTCCAGCTTCTCCAATCTCCACCGTCCGATCAAGAACTCCATGATGTCTGCGTAATCACCGGCAGTGTATACGCCGAGGCGCTGTGCCACTGCAGAGAAATGATCGAAGAGGTGTGGGTCCCTCCCATCATAGACCAAGTGAGCTGGCATCGTGATCTTGTGGCGCATCATGTGTGATATGGCCATCATGGCTTCAGTGGGGTCCACTTCTAGAAGCTTCTCCACGATCCTTACGTATGCGTTCTCGTGCCGCTTCTCGTCTGCAGCAATGGTACCGCAAATGCGTGCAAGCACCGGATCACCACCCTCCTTACCCAACCGAGCCGTGTTACCGTGTGATACAAAAGTGGCTCGCTCTTGGAATGATGTGTAGACAAACCCCATATATGGATTGTTTTCTGTTCCCAGATCCTACAATATCAAGAATCATTTAATTTAAAACATACGTAATAAATTTAACTTCTATTGTTTGCTTAATTTGCATAAAGAATATATAATTATATTACAGTAGCTTAAAATAAAACTAGATGTTAACAACGATTAGCAACCCAAAAAAAATTGAAAATTATATTTTGAATACTAGTAATTATTAATTTCAATATTGACCTATTTAAGCAAATATTTACACAAGGTTACTCCTTTCTTCTGTCAAACGAGAGATACAGAGTGTGCATATATTATAAAGGAAGTTCATATTATTTACTAATATTTTTACATATTATTATGTAGTATCACTTCATGCTTTTAGTTAATATTAATAAATGATGAATAACAATTTTTCAAAATATTAATGAATATGTAAAGAACCAATTCAATCCAAAAGCTTAAGCTGTTGGGTAAGGCTACATCAATAGTTTTATATATCTCAACACGCCGCCTCACACGAGAACCCACTGGACTTGAAGGGTGGACGATGCATAGGCCACCTACCTGTGCGAAGAAAGAAATTCCACTAAAAAGAAAGAATCAATTCAACCCAAAAAGCTTAAGTAGTTGGGTGAGGCTACATCAATGATTTTATATATTAGTATAAAAATATTCTACGCTAATAGTGTTGACCAATTATAGCTAGATTCCTTTCTTCTTTGGATAAAATTCTTCTCTCGTACGTATGTGTGTATAAATGAACAAAAGAATGCATGCCAATAATATAATGAATAAATTAATACAGGATGGCTACGAAACATATATAAGAAAAGATTTGTCAAACACAAAACGTGAAACGTTAATTTTCAAATAAAGAATGACCCCGTGTGTGTGTGAGCGCGCGCAAGTGCGTGAGTTGACAAACAAAATGAAATTAAATTATAGCAGTTCTCCCCAAGCTAACTGACTACGAAATAACTGGTTCAATTCAGCAAAATAACTAAATAGAATGAAATGAAATTAAAAAAAAAAAAACTAGCAAGTAGCCAAATAGCAATCCAAAAATATAAGTCAAAAGAAAGAAAGATCATATATTATTAATGTATATATCACCATGCCAGCTCCAATTAGGTAATGGATAGTCTTCTCAACCATGAGCATATCGACCCGACCCGAGAGATAAAGATATGTTTTGAGCAAATCTCCATGCCTATTCTCCTCAGCAGTCCAAGAGCGTGACCACACAGCCCATGGGGTTTGACATGAACCCGTCTCATCTCCAACACCATCAAGCTTGTTTATCCAAGTCTGGTACGTTGGCAACGCTTCCTCAGTGATCATGTCACCAACCAGAACCACTAGGAAATCATCTGGAAGCTCAGCCGTTCGATCTCGTAGTTCCTTGACCTGATCGGTGAACTCATCCAACGGCAGTGATGAGTCAGGCAACAAGTCACGGGGTTGCCAACTTTGCTCCACAGGCTTCACCAGTGGAAGGAGACTCTGCGATGCCCAGCTCTCCAGTGACTTGAAAATTTCTATCTTCTGCGGTGGCATTGAATGCGTCTTTCGGTTAGAGATGGCAGATACTATTGAACGATAGTGTCTTGCGGTTTGGGATGGTGGATGACGATCATGATAGGAATAGGAACCACTTGGGCTCCATGCAAGTGCTACACGTTGGGTACACATTGATATCATTGTTGTTTGCAATTGCGTTGTTTGTGAGTACCTGAAGCTTCAAGCCACCGATTATATATAAAATCATTCTAGAGATGTCGTCATGTATCCAGTCAATTAATTTATTGATGCCATATATATAGAAGACTTTCTAAAAGAATAATTAATGTATCTACTATTGAATAATTAGTGCACTCAACTGCATAGACTAGACTTGTAACGTCCTCTAATTATTCCAATATATTTAATAATAAATAAATAAATAAAAATATCTGTAAAAATAAATCTAGAAAGATTAACTGGAAATGTTAACATCTTTCATTATTTATACATGGATGTAAGTGAGTACAAACTTTTTATACTCTAAATATTTTACATTAGTTCCACACATATATTACATTCCTAACTACATAAGGTTACAATGTTTATTCAATACATACTTCTCATTCTAGTCTAGCCTATAGGTGTAGGATTCCACACTGCCTGCATGGAATATGGCTACTTCTCCTTGGTTCCTAACAGGGCATAAAAATAAATATTCACAGTCCATCCTTCTCCAGAAAAAGATAAGTTAGGCATAATGATTTTCTGGAAATGTTAACACAAAATAAACAAATGTGAAATAATTCTCAGTAATATTGAGATTTTTAAACTATAACCATTTACAGCCGTAATAACAAAAAATATCAATTTCTCAAGTTTATTTCATAAACTGAAATAATAACATAAATAATAATAACAAATTGTGTAATATTTAACTGAAGCTAATTTAATTCCCAATTTTGTGGGTCTCCTGCATGTGAAAAGTTATGTTATGGCGGAGCTCAAGCCATGATAAGACGTCCATTACCCTAAAACTTTCTTAACCCAAACTTTTGTGGGTCACTTCACAGCAGCATCATTCAATTAAAATTTACATATTCTCTTAATATTCATTTGGTACCAAATAATTTATTGTATCTTACTAAAGAAAATTTAAAATTTGATAAAAATCACAATAAGAGGTAGAACAAAATTAAAAAAAAAAATTAAGGTAAGACTATAGTTGAAAATAATATTAAATAAGAGAAGGAATTAAGAAGATATTTTGACAAAATAACAGCATTACAATTTTTTAAAAATAAATTAATTAATATAACTGAAAGGAAGAAAATGGAGAGAGGATTTTACTCTCTCAATATTAACTTTTCCTTATTATCTCTTCATCTTCTTCACCTTACGTATTCTCTTCTTCTTCGTAAACTTTTCTTTTATATATATATATATATATATATATATATATATATATATATATATATATATATATATGTTATTAGGTGCTGATTCATTCCTTTTTTCTTCTTTTTTTTTTCATCATTATAGTAATATCATTTGACTTACATCACTCTAATTAAAAAGCATGACAATTATGGCTTGGAGGGGGTGTTCCACGTGGCCCCTCCTTGTTATTATTTTATTAATAAATAATATTTATTTAATTCTTATAAATAATAATTATAGTATTGTTATTATTTTTAAATAATGATTTAGGAGGTTTAGTAATATATTTAATTAGAAATAATTTACTGTGATTATTATAAGAATTTTAAGAAAATAATTTAATATATATTTATTGATTATTATTAATATTTTCCACTGGTATAGTTTATTTCCATTATGATTTTAAACACATATGGTTTTATTAACAGTTGTTATAATATTAAATTAATAAATAAAACAGTACATATCTATAATTTATCTATCATTCAGTTAAATATTTTATTAACTAATCAATGTTTCATATTAATACTCATATTAGTTACTATTTACAGTTAGTGGTATAATGTATATTTACATGTTAAAATTTAAATATTATATTTACCATATGTATTTAAATATTTATAGGTTTATAGTATTCATCATACGACTTATCATAAACTACATTTAATGTTGCACTTATCATTCTATGTAGTTACATATGTAACATAAATAAATTTATTTATTAATTTATTTATTTATTAGTAATAATAATTTATTTATTTATAGGAAATTATTATTATTATTAAATAATAATATTATTATTATTATTTTATACATTATTACTTGATTATTATTATTATTATTTTATTTTATTTGTATTCGGTTATTACAAGACTCAGAAGGAATGAATGCCGTGCTGTATTTTTTTATGATTATGTGATGCATGTATTATACGTATATGAACCATGACGATTTATTTCACCTTTCCGAAGCTTCAACTCTGTCAAGAAGAAGGGAACACATATAACATGTTGCGATATATAGACTCCGCTTGAGGCCTCAAATAGGGTACACAAATACGGTACGAAAAATTTGTATTCGAGTCTATTTGTTTTTAAATTTGTATCATATTTATGTTAGCAAAAATTAATATTAAAAAATTTGTGTTGTGTTCGCATTAATTTACAAATATAAAATTGACTTATATTAATTTTTTTTATAAGTTTTTCATGTAGTGTAATATTATATAGGAAAAATATTTTTACAGTTACTGCAGATAAGTTATCTGCATTCATTCACAAAACGACGTCGTTTTAATATTGAAATCTTAACAAATTATAAATATAAAGATTATTATAACCCTGAAATAAATTAAAATTACAAAAATATTAGGATTTTTGCAAAACGACGTCGTATTAGACTTACTGAAAATAAGTTATCTGCAGTGACTACAGAAAAAGCAAACTTATATTATATTGTGTCAATTCACATAATAAATAATATATTTTAAGATTAAAAAATTATTCATTTTGTGTTATGTTTGAGATTTGCAAAATATTTTAAAGAAAAAGTCGTCCATACTGTGGACGATTCATCCAAACGACAAGATTGTTGGAAATAATCAAGTATGAGTTGTAAAGAAGTATCACATAGACTAGACATAGACCAAGTGATGACCATATAAGTGCAAAAGACCCATAAACCTACAGCCTTAAGGTTTTGGGTTGAGATGTGGTGTCGGCCCACTTATTATGGTTTGTCATTTGGCCCATTGGTGGATGTACCCTTTGCAAAGGGTTTTGGGCTCCCTCGTTGCATTCCCAACAGTGGTATCAGAGCCAACGATCTGGGCCAAGTGTTTGGAAGGCCTCCGCAGAAGGCTAGTATGACCCTAATATTTGAAAGAGAAAAAAAAAAGACTTCCGCAGAAGTTGCCCTTAGGGTAAGAATGATATTGGGCCTCATACTTGAGGGAAGATGTTGGAAATAATCAAGTATGAGTTGTAAAGAAGTATCACATAGACTAGACATAGACCAAGTGATGACCATATAAGTGCAAAAGACCCATAAACCTACAGCCTTAAGGTTTTGGGTTGAGATGTGGTGTCGGCCCACTTATTATGGTTTGTCATTTGGCCCATTGGTGGATGTACCCTTTGCAAAGGGTTTTGGGCTCCCTCGTTGCATTCCCAACAAAGATTTATAAAGAGATGTCACATCAACCAAACTACCAAAGCCGTATGTATTTGAAGGAAAATAAATTTGAATAATTGAATGTAGGGATATATTTTTTTTATGTTGCAGAAAAAAAATTACCTCATGTTGTGAAAATAAAAAGTATAAGTGAAACCCATATATAAGATGAGAGAAAAAAAAGTACTGAAATCTAACCTCTTTTTGTGTGTGTAAGAGAGTTATTTATCTTATATAAAATGAGATAAACATAACCCTTGAATCACGTTTATTTTTCTCGGGAAGGAGGCAGGAGGGAAGGTACTTGTTGACTCCTGTTATAAGATTGAACATCATCCTGCTGTTACATAAGATGCAAATTTAGAGTTGTTTGTTTGGATTTTTAAAAAAATTAATTTTTATCTATTTTTTATTTTAGGAGTATTTTTTATAAAAGTTAAAGCTATTTATATTTCTATAAAAATATTTAATTTTTGAAAAAAATATTTGGCTTTTGACTTTTGTTTTGCTTAGAAGTTAAAATTTTTAGTTTCTGAAAAAATAAATTTTTGACTTTTTTTTGTGACTTCTGCTTTTTTTAAAAGCAGACATTCAAACGAACTAAAAATGAGAAGTGCTTTTGAAGAAAAAAAACTCAGCCAAACGGGCCCTTAATCACCAATGCAGAAGCGAGCGCCTGTCTGCTATGTTTATGATACGGTGTTCATCAATCGATCCAAATTAATTTAAATTGCGGTGACTGAATTAAAAAATTGACAATCGAAAATCAAAAACTAAAAAAAAACTCACATATTTTAATTGGATTGCATTGGTTTTAGATTTGGTTGGTAAAAACCTATTTAATCTAAACCGATCCAATGTATTATGTATTTATTATTTTTGAAAAAATGATGATTTGGAATCTTGTTAGTTTGTAGACTTGAAATTTTGAATATCATTGATAGCAAATTATATTGTTTTAATTTTTTATTGTCTATTAATATATTTTAACTATTCATGAGTTTTAAGACTTGTTTTAGATTGAATACTTGAATTTTTCAATGATTTGTTATGTTGAATGACTTTATTTTGATATAGTTAGTAATTTATATGACTGAAGTTTTAGATTTTTCGAAAACTAGTCAATTAAATTGGATTGAATTGGATCGAATTTTAAAAAAAAAATCAAACCAAATAGATGAGTAAATAATCAAATCAAATAGATTAGATCGGGTGATTTTTGGTTCAAAATCGATACAATTCAGACCACGAACACCTCTAGTTTATGTCTACATTTCGGATTTGAAAAGTAAATTTTTTTTATTCTAACCTTAATTATCTTTTCGAGATGAGTGTGAAATTAATCCCGAGTCTGGATTGATTTGGATAAAAACTTATTTTGTCTTTCCAAATTTATGTGTTATGCTAAGTAGCATAAAACAAAACTTTTAAAACTGGAATATGATGGTCAAAAGCCCTGTAAG